ATAAATAATTATCTTTTAACTCACCTGATGCACACGCAGGTCATTCTGTGTTTTTTATGAAAGAAAAGTGAACACAGAAATGGCCCCAGGTGGTAACTGGGTGAAAAGTTTGGACTCTGCCAAGACCACGTTCCCGTAGAATATGACGTGAGAACAGTTTGTTCGAGAGCGAGCGCTGCCTCGTGAGACCACGAGAGGAGGGGCTCCGAGGTGAGACCCGAGGTTGTCCTAGCAGAACCACAGGGAAGAGGACGTGGTCCCGTGAGGAGGCCATGGCCACTGGAGGGGCGTGGAGGTGTGCGTCCCCACCCCGGCTCCCTGCCTGGCTGGGAGGTGGAATCACCCAGGAAATGGAAGAAAGCACGTCCTCCTCCTGGGGACAGAGGCGTGCCCTGGGCGGCGGTGGGGGTGGGGCAGTTTTCCAGAGCTCTCCGAGCTCCTCTAATGCTGCCCAGCTGGGCGGGGCCGCTGCCCAGACGTTGGGCGCCGCGCGTGGGGTTCTCCCTGCGATCCTTTCAGCACTCTGCACGACGCGTGCGTATTTGGGTGTACAGCTGTGTGCGTTTCAGAACCCCATTCCCAATTCCAGCTGTCTCCAGGTGCGTTGACGTAGAGTGCTGTGTATTCAAATAAGTCGTCCAACCAATCCCAAATAAGTTGGCATGTTTGTTTCTAGTCATTGAGCAGATTACACTCTTCAGAGACTCACAGAATTGATTACTCTTAAGACAGTGCTTTGAGCAAGACTGAGCTGGCAGTGCCACCAGAATGGCCTTGCTGGTGGTCATCCTGAGTGGGGTCAGCAAGCACCCCTGTTGTCCCCGAGGCCCAGCTCTTCCCGCGCGTCCTTCTGGCGACCCTCTCGCTCCTGGCCATGGTGCGGCTCTGGAGCAGCGCCTGGCTGTTCATGGAGGAACTGCGTGTCATAGGCCAGCGCCCTGGGCAGGGGGAGTGACAGGGTGGATTTGCTCTGGGGAAGGCGCTGGGGAAGATGAGCGTCGTCTGACGAGAAGTCCCACGGGCTGCTCCTGTGAAGGGGGCGGAGAGCGCTCCAGACGTCGTCAGCGTTCACTCCCAGACCGTCCCAACCCTGTCTCGATTCCTTTGATCCCTAACAGCGCAGCCCACGTGTGCTCCTCCGCCCCGAGGACAGGCTGCATGTGTGGCCACTGGTGACCCTGGTAGTCGGCAAGCAGACCAGGCGGAGGAATGGGGCTGGCTGGAGATCGGGCCACCGGGCCCGATGGCCTGAGGTGCTGCGAGTCGGGCGGCGGAGGCTGTGAGCGGCGGGGCTTGCCGCGTAGCCTTCCATTTGGTTTCCGTTAATTTCCGCTCACCCCCCGGGAGGAGGCCGGTCTGGGGGTGGCTGACAGTTGAGTGGGGCCGGCCATGGCGTGTGTGGCTCCCAGGCCCCGCGTGCACAGGGCGATGTGGGCGAGCTAACCCGTGTGTCTCTGCCTTTTCTCCAGGAAAACGCAGCACAGCTCCCTTGACCAGAGTTCTCCGCCCCAGAGCGGGGTGTCGGCCTCCTACAACCACCCGGTCCTGGGCATGTACGACGCCAAAGACGACTTCCCTCTCAGGAAGACAGGTCAGTGCCCGGAGCCCGCGCAGCGCCTCGCACGCCGCAGTCTCTCACGTACGGGATCACCTGCGGGTCTGGGAATACTTGCTGCTGTCGTGAGAGCATCATTTTGAGAAGAAATCCCTGGGCATTCTCTTACGATTCACGCCAAAAGAAATGAGCCTCATGCATGTACAACTCACGTTTTAAAACTTACGTTTAAAACATGGTAACATTGAGTTTTCTTTAGTGGTGTGTCACACTTTGCTGCGTTCAAACGCATCCCCTTGGTGGCCATTCTTGCTGCTGTGGGAAGGGAGAGAGCATGTGGCCCTCAGGGTCAGCTCTGGGCAGCCACCGTCCAGGTCCCCAGAGTGGGACGCGAATCTTTATGTGACAGACATTCGTTGTGTCCTGCAGGGGACATCCCAGGTGGGCCCGGAGTTACATGCAACACTCTGTTGTGAGCCAGGGAGGGAGAGGCATTTAGGCAAAGCAGGAGGCCTGGACCGTTCCGGAAGCAGGGAGAGGGTGCTGTGGCAGGCAGCATCTGACACGTTGGGACACTCGTGGCCTTTGTCAGGAGTGATGGTTTCGGTGGGCCCTGGCTTTGGGCGGGATCGGGGTGGCCACAGACAGCACACTTTTGTGGCCAGAAGGGCAGGGCCGGGGCAGGGGCGTGCCTTGGAGGCTCTGTCCCCAGAGGAGGTGAGGATGGCGCTGAGCGTGGCCTGCAGGGCGCCTCCCTAACGGGGCGGCTCTCAGAAGAGAGGTCTGAGGGGCTTTTTCCTACTGCGCGGAGTTTAGCTTTTTTGTTCTTGAGGTTCTGTTGTTTTTGGGGGGAATTTTTTTGAGGGTTGGGCCCGGGGGGGGTTTTTCCCCTGGGTTAGGGGGGTTTGTTGCCTTGGGCGGGGGGTTCCCTTGTTGCCGTTCTTAAGGCGGGGGCCTTTGGGGGGCGTTTCGGGGTTCTCCTTGGCAGAGCTCACCCAGAGACGCTTGTTATGGAACCAGGGGCTAAACCGCAAGCAAGAGCCGGGCGCTGAAGGGAGGAGCGTCTGGTCGAGCCTAAGTGAGACTTCACTAGGATCCCAGCTGTGTGACTTGGACGGGCC